GAAACATACGACAGTTCAGTCATACGGTCCCATTCAAGCAACGGCTGGCAGCAATTCATTTCTTTTTTCATAGAATATTAACAACGTTATTTTATCTCTCGAAACGTGAGATCGAATTGTCTTCATATCTCTGTAAGTTCATTTTTAATACATATTAGCAAAATATAATCATCTGTCCACTTTTCAATAACAAAGCTGCTTCTGGCAAGAAGTGATTTTTTAGTTTAATCATATGCTTTAGCTTTACAGAAATCCTTATCACATCAAAGATATTCAAAAACAGTAATTCAACGATTTAATAATAATAAACAGCTTTGGAAATAATTTTACTACCACTTTCGTCTTAAGTTCACACGTCAGAGAAACGCAAAAAATATTTTGTTGAAGAGGTGGATGAATTATATTTCGTTAACATTAGTTGAAAATAGACTTCGAAAGATGCACAAGCATTTGGTTTTCAAATTTCTAGAAGCAGAATAATGTATAATTCTGATTGCATAATTTAATGGTCTACTGCTTTTCCGTGCGTGTGCAAATCTTCGTGTCAAGTCCAGAACATGATTCCCTTATGTTATAAATTATGTAAATGATATCAATGGTTTTAGTTACATTAAACTGAAGTGCATAAGAAACCAATAGTGATTCATATTAGTGATACCCATTAGATACTGAACCCATAAGTGAGACGTGTATGTATGTCCCAAGGGTATTAAACTTTCCTCTTTTCTGGTTCTTTTTATGTATAAGTAGTCACTTCGATTCGTGTGTCAAGCATATTAGCTGGTAACACGTTTCTACAAAGCAACGGTCGCTGTGTATAAAAATTATATGTATAAAAATTGCAGGCTGACAACACATCGGCTTCGAAAACATATTGCTGACTCCGTGCCTCGAACTGTTGGAATATAGAAACGTACTATCTGCTATAGCGATGTACTTTATCTGACCATGACTTCGCATAAGGCATCTCTTTGTTTGAGTTGCTTTGCCAAGAGAATAGTTTGCAAACAAACGTTATGAGTTTAAGCTGCGAGACGACTGTGTTACGTCACGCGTTCTATCTTTTGAGAAGAGAGTGATGCATTGTAATGACTGAAGATCAACAGCGACAACAAGTGTTTCACTTTCGGCTGACTATTTCAGTGAACAGTCAGCTATCAGGTGGACCAAGGCGAATTGCAGCCCTATGAGTACTCGCATCAGAGACATGCCCATTCTGATATGAACACACCAGAATACAGTGCTATCCCTATTTTTTCCCAAGTCAAGGATATTTCTCGGCTGGTTGCATAAAGCAAATGTGGGGTAATAACTTGCTCAAAAGAATTCACAGCTAAGACAAAGATTTATCCTTCTACGGGTTCGAACCTGGCTCTTCCGGTGCTTAAGATAGATCTTATTGCCATGGCGCCATTAAATTAACCTTTGTTTGCCCTGTCCATCTACGCTGCGTCACTGAACTGTTTGCATTAAAATAAAGCTCTAAATCGTAACTAAACTGCTTCGCGTGTAATTATCGATTCCTAACAGCTTATATGAAAAAAAAACAAAAAATGAACCCGAGTAGTAGACAGCACGAAAGTAACTATTCAGAAAGGTGACGCACATTTTACAGCGCTGAGCAGGAGTGTGTTAACTTTAAATCGAGGAACGTAGATTATCATATGAACATTACAAACGTCTTCTAGCGATGCATGGTTATAAAAAACGTAACCGGATAAAATAATTTCTTATTTTGGTTGCAATGCGACAAATTCATACCTTCAGATCCTTTATATACTCCTTTGCTGCTTCAATTTCAGTATTATACGCCTGTTTGAACATGTCAATATTCAACTGGAATAATTAAGATGATAATCAAAACATGCAAGTGAAACCGTAATTACCTGTATTAAGTCTGCATGAGCTGCAGCACGTGCAAGCTTCTTTCGTGCTCTTAACAGTGCAAGCTTGCCGCTTAGAGTCAATTTTTCTTTGTTCCGTTTGGCTTCCAACTAAACTTTTCACGTGTATTTTGCATGTGTGTGAAATACCTTACAGCAGATTATCACCACGAAGAGGAAACAAAACGGTCGTTATACAATGTAAGAAGCTTACAATGTTTCAACCCCCATTGAAATTGAACGAACAACTATAAGACGCATTTATTAAAAAAATTCAGATCATACCAATTCTTTCTTCAACACATGGAACTGTTGCTGGAGCGACTCGGTTTTTTCCTCATTGCTTTTCTCTACATCCTAAAATTCATCTTGTAGCTTCGTCGAAAAACAGAAATATTTTGCTGACACGTTTTTCGTAGAGTTTACCTTCTTTGTTAACGATCACAGCCAAATAAATAGGTGTTTTATGAAGAACACATGACAGCAACCACAGCTACAAAAGCAGCGACGGAAAAGGCAAGGAAGTTACAGATTACAGATAATCTGAGAACAGTACATACAGTCGAAAGGGAAAGTCGTGTTGAAATGAGTTGGCAAACGAGCAGTTTCGGCATTAGAACTCTTATGCCCAAGAACTGCAACTACAAGTGATGGCGCAATTTCACTTGTCTTTAACTCGAGTTATGATTCTAACCAGCCGTTTTATTTATTCGTCCTGAAGGTGATGGAGGATTACACTGCAAAAAGCAACTCAGTTAGTTGACTCTCTAAGTAATTAAAACGCATTGCTCGGCGTCTCGAAATGACGAAAAAGACACTGTAAGCGACAACTGTCTTGTTCTCAATGAAAGCATTCCATCTGACGCTGAATAGATTTGATTCCTCAGGATCCCTGACATATAATGTCCAAAAATTGCAGACGACTTCCCTTTTGCTCAGGTCTCGCTCATACAATAGCACAAACAAAACACCTAACTTTTTGGCGGACTTATCTCACAGCTACGACCAGTTAGAGCAGAATGCTATATGAGAAATAACGTGCTATATTTCTGATTATATATCGGCGGCATCATACAGATTATCGCCTGAGGTCGCCAGAGATATGGAATTGCCCATGTGCCAGATACAGCACAGTGGCTGAACCTGACTGGATATTCATTATAATATCAGTAGTATACGTCCGTCCCTTTCTGAATTCGATGTATCGGCCTTAAACTGTGAAATTCTAATGCTAAGCTACTTCTGTATTACGCCTAAACTATTTTGCAACACCGCACTGTAGTCTACAACTAGAATAAGCGGGTATCAATTTTTGAAATATATGTTTTAAACTTCACGGTTACAAATAATATAACTGATATGACAGTTGACCATTTGTCAAACAAACACACAGAACTTCATGAAAAAAGTTTAGTCTAATAATAGCAGAATGAACCTTTGTCGCTGCTTAATATGGATTAATCATAACTTTAATTTTAACCATCTCAGTTAACTTAAGATCCCTCATGTTTGCCTCCTTGTTTTAAAGTTATCGCCTACACAGTAACATGCAAAAGTTTCATTAATGTTTCTATTTCGCCAGATTTCCATTACCGTCCTCTTCAATTTTAACTAAAACTTTAACAACACTTCTAGTTCATAGGTGTTTTGTCCACACTATACAAACCCTTAACTTTGGTCACTCGTTTTTGCCAAAGGTATGCCAAACTTAACAAACATCTTAACAAAGCAGCAGGCCAATGTATAGTACTTCATCATTTAAGAGTTATGTTCATCCGAGGTTCGTCTAGATACTCAGTTGTATCGCGTTCAGTTTATCAGACCATTCTGATCAGATGTTCCGTGAATCTCAGCAATCTTATGTTACTCCTGATAGGATCGAATCATTTTCCCCCCAATTCGTTACATGTCTTGGAAGAACTACTTCCTGTAGATCTATCTCTGAGAATTTATCTGGCTTTAATTATAACGATCCATAACGCGTATTTTAGATAAATTCTTGGCACACCGTTTGTTCGACTCCTTCCAATAAATTGTTCATTAATCTCGGCATCTCTCAAGACTAGGTCTTTCGCTCCTACTACTTTCAATTTAAACGAACGAGTATCAAATCAGTTAATCTTATCTACACATGAAATCTGGCGGCGACATAGCAGATATCACGTCGACACTCAAAGAGAAAGAGTTTACAGACAGTCTTACAGATCAGCTACATGGGAAGCTAGTAAAGGTCCAATCGACTGAAGTCAAGCATCAGAAAATGCTTCAAAGGCTTTCCGGTATTTCACAATGCTCGCTCTGTTGTTTTGCTAGAAGCCGCGTCAGTAGCCGAAGACACTGGTTTTTCAACGTGGAAACAGGATCACTTTCTTTACTTGCAAGTGAATGTTAGTAATCGTTAGGTTTGTCTAATCACGCCCAGAGAATCATATCCAAAGTGAGAGGGGCTTTCATTTTCACAATACAAATGGGAACCATCAGTTGGCTTCGATGGCATTTTTGGCGTTCCTCCGTTGACCCAGTACTAACAGCGGCAGCACTACTTTGTATGGGGGGGGGGGGGTTTGCCGGCAGCATTGTTGTCATTTGGCACCGTTATTACC